ACGTTAGTTTTCGGGCCCTCCGAACAGGTCACAAGTCAGACACACTTTCTTTGTTTTGGGGGCATTTTTTTAATTAATCTCACGAAAAGAAAAGAGCTCTTGCAACGGACCTCGCCAAGCCACTAACTCGTCCGCCGAGTCAAACAATTGAGTTGTTGTAAAATAATCGGTATGATCAACTTCAGTTGTAGACGTATTGTCCTGATAAAAACATTAAAAAATTATTTAAAAAAAAAAAACGGATTTGAACCGGACGCTCAACTCGGGCGCCCAATTAAGCAATGCACGCCCAAGTTGGGCGTGCAGTTGGCTTCCGGACGCCCGCATTGGGCGTGGAGCTGGGCGTTTGCACAATTTTCCCGGTTTTTTCGATCGAAAAGACGGAATTTTTACCTCGTTAGATCCGCTATCACGGTCTTCATCCGATGAGCTCATTTGTGTTCGTATATCACATCAACAAGAATAATTTTTAAGCAAATTTCCTTCAAAAACTTCTTTTTCTAGAGAGAGAGAATATTTTAATAATAAACCGCAAATAGCAATTTTACAATCGCGAAAAGCAAGTCCCAATTGGACTATAGGTAATTCGAATGAAAATAGTATAAAAAAATTCGATTGAAATCGGCCTTTAAATCAAAATTTTCATTCTGATTTCCATCCCTACCGCCGGGTCTATACCGTAGGGTAATAGTAATTTTCGATTGCATTATTGTGTGTGCTTTTTTACTTTTCTGTTTTTGTCTTTCTAAATGTTTTAATAATAAAAAAAGAAAAAAATAAAACTTTTTAAAAAGGATAATCAATACTCAATAGTCAATAGTGTACATATAATAATTAATAAACAAGTCCAAGTGAAGAAGAATATCGAGAATACAATATTAATATTAATTATTTATTATTTTTTTTTTTTAAGTAAATTCAAGTCCATTACAAGGGGAAATAGGGGTGGGGGGACTCGAACCCTAGACCGTTACCCTAGTGGTAAAGGCTAGACCGTTAAATGATGTGGGTTTGTCCTTTGAAAGGAAAAAGAGAGGGAGAAAAGACTTGACCGGAAAAAAGCTGTCCCCCGCTCACGTCAACGTCACATCAGCCGCCTGACGTATTCCGCCACCCAATCGCC